GATATTAATCTGTTCATACTGTTCAGCCATGAACCAGTTGGTTCATGCCCCCCCCCCCTTCTTTTCAACATCCTCTCCCCGTTGAAAGTTTTCCGGGGCGTTCATGTTTTGTCAGAACGCATAGTTACACAACATGCGTCTGTGCATGGCACATAATTACGCAATGCGTAGTTATGCACATGGGGAGCTGAGTGGCAAGACGTTTTTTGGGCAAGCTTCCGCTTCTTACTGTGTTTGAATGGACCCAGTGAGGCGAGGACCACATCCGCTTCGCCCTTAACCCATCAGCAACAGCCTTAAAGGGCGAAGCCTATACGACATAGAACGTTGGTTACGTACTGTAACCCCAGATTCTATGAGTATAGGCGTAGCCCTTTAAGCGTCGGGCCTCACTGGCTCCTGAATTGCTGAAGAAAAAATAAGCTATTTGGGAGCCGATTACCCGTTCTTAATGTAACTTATACGGATCGGGTGGGGCCCACACAGCAGGTGGGCGTGGACTAATTTTTTTCAGTATGATGCTTGCGCATAACGGGATAAACCCATCAGCGACAGCCTTAAAGGGCGAAGCCTATACTCATAGAATCTGGGGTTACAGTACGTAACCAACGTTTTCTGTGCGGCAGGAAGTTGTTCTTGGCAGTGTTAGTAAACCTACTTGCAGGCCCTGGTTAGCATAGCCCAGGCCCAGCTGCCTGCAGGCCACCATGGCTTCTTTGGTGGTCCAGCTCTCACCACAGATCAAACCCCAGCTTTGTGTGCCGTTAGAGTCTGAGCTCAGCACCTCAACACGGCCCTCATAGCGGGTTCGTCCTCCTGTGATCCGGATCTGTGTGGGAATGAGGGGTTAGGCACCACAAAGCAGACTATAGATACAAAGAAGCTTGATTGGATAAAAACTCTCTCAAACAGACAACAGAAGTTACGCTATTGTCAAAAATATACTGTTATAGCTTTTGAGGAGTTTTAAGTCTGGCATATGTATCTATAGGATACATGGAAAACTAGAAAACAAACAAACAACGATGGTGCAACCATTAATTTTCTATTTTACGGTAGGTCAGTGTTGTCAAAAAAAACACAGACAAACAACCAGTTGTTGATAAATCACATTTTACCAGCATGCAAAAATGAAAAACTAAATAATACAAAACTAAACTTTTTTTGTGACAACACTGAAGGAATTTTTTTATCCAAAGATGTGAGATGTACTCATGTTGTTAACGTTGCATTTCACATCTCAGCACACACAGACAAGAATGTTCAAGCAGAAAAGAGAAATGAAAAAATACACATTACCAAGCAAACAGAATTCAAATAATTTCACACTCTACTCTTAAATATATAATATCACAACCTACTTTCCACTTGCTCAATAATAACTTCAATATAAAAGCGATACAAATACAAGGCCTTAAAAAGTATTTATACTACGTGAACCTTTCCACATTTTGACTTGTTACAACCACAAATGTCAAAGTATTCCAGGTATTACCATATTTAGCTCCATCCATCTTTCCATCAACCAGCTTCCCTGTCCCCACTGAAGGAAATCATCACCGCAGCATGATGCTACCACCACTATGCTACACAGTCGTCATTTTTCACCACTTGCATAGCATCTCCGTCCACATTTGCTGTATCCCTGCATGGTTTGTGACAAACTGCAAACCTAACTCTTGTGTCTTTCTTTAAACAATGACTTTATTACTGCCATTTTTTTCGTAAATGCCAGATTTGAGGAGTGAATGATTAATAGTTGTACAGTGGATTTGCTGTACCACCTGAGCTATGGATCTCTGAAGGGACTCGACTTACCATGAAGTTTCTGCTAGTCAGAATAATGCTCTCCTTGGCCGGCCCATCAGTTTGATAGGTTTGTAGTTGTTTCCTTTAAGCTTTACATTTTGCATGACTGAATAGAGCTGACAGCTTCAACCTGGATGTGTGGATGCCACGACAAACTGCTTACAAATAAATATTTGTGGAAGTGGGCTGAGACCTGTTTTAATGCAGTGCTGCCTGAAGACCAGAAGAGGAACATTATTCTGTAATCTATTGTTAGAGTTGTTGATAGAGTCCCATCTGTCCAGTAACAACTCACAGGAGGTGTGGAAGGGCATAAAAAACATCACAAACTATGAAAGGAGACAACATGGAGCATACTAGGCTGTGAGGTGACAACAGGGGACCTGAGTGCATCACTAGCAGAGGAGCTAAACTGCTTCTTTGCATGCTTTGCAGCACCACAGCAGCACTCATCTGATCCAGCCCTGCCCCCACACCCACCCACTTACTGCACCACTCCACTCACTGTACGGGAGCATGATGTTAGATGGTCGCTCCTAGCAGTGAACCCCAGGAAAGCTACTGGCCTACATGGAGTACCTGGCAGGGTGCTCAGAGCATGTGCCCTCCAGCTCACTTCCACCTTCACCAGAATTTTCAATCTCTCTCTGGCCCAGGCAGTCATCCCTCCCTGCTTAAAATCTGCAACTATCATCCCAGTGCCGAAAACTCCTACCATCACCAGCCTGAATGATTATCGACCGGTGGCTCTCACTCCGGTAATCATGAAGTGCTTCGAGAGCCTGGTTCTCCAGCACATCAAGAACTATCTCCCCCCGAACTTTGACCCCTATCAGTTTGCATATCGCACCAACAGGTCCACAGAGGATGCTATTGCAGTAGCTCTCCACATCTCCTCACTCTGAGCCACCTGGAACAACAGCACTGCTACGTTCGAATGCTCTTTGTGGATTACAGCTCGGCCTTTAATACAATCATTCTGGACATTCTTATAAACAAATTGGACAATCTTGCCCCCCCCCCCCCCCCCCCACACACACACACACACACACACATGCCTGGATAAAAGACTTCCTAACCAATCGGCCCCAATCTGCGAGACTTGGTCCCCACCTTTCCTCCACTCATACTCTGAGCACTGGCTCCCCACAGTGTTGTGTGCTGAGCCCCCTGCTTTACTGTCGCTACACCCACGACTGCAGCCCGGCCCACAACAACAACCTCATTGTCAAGTTCGCTGATGATACCACAGTGGTCGGACTAAGGGAGATGAGACATTTTACAGACAGGAGGTCCTGGAGCTAGCAACCTGGTGCTCAGAGAAAAACCTGGCTCTGAATATAAGGGTGCATTCACACCAGCCCTGTTTAGTCTGCTTTAATCGAACTCTAGCTTGTTTTCCTAGAAAGTCCGGTTCGTTTAGGGAGGTGTGAACGTGCCATTGAACTCTGTCACGGAACAAAAAGGCGAACTCTGGCCCGGGCTGAAACCTAGGTCTCGGTCCGGTGGAAGTGAACTCCAGCGCGGTTCGAGTACAGTGTTAACGTAAACAGACCGGCCCTGATACGCAGGACAAACAAACACGCAGTTCTCTGACCTTATATGGAGCCATCAGCTGCCTTGTGTGGAAAAACAATATTCTCCATGGTCGTCTGTCTCATCTTCTGCTCATGCTAAGTCCATTATTGAAAAATGACAAAATATAACTCCTAAAACTGATAAAACTTGATGCCACTTCGTTTTTATTTTTATTTACAGAAGAAGAAGAAGACGTGTCTTCAGAGGTTTTGTGTCGTTTCTTTCAGTAGTTCTTGGTGCAGCGCCCCCACAGGCGAGCGGGGGAATAGGTTGGTTCAACGGGTTGCCTCGACTGCACAGCGCAGTGTGAATGCAAACGCACCAGCTCAAATGTAAACAAAAGCTCATGAATATTGGTCCCGAACCGAGTCTACTGGACTATCTGGTGTGAAAACGACCTAAAAAAAAAACGGAGGTAATTATTGATTTCAGGAAGCACAACACCAACCTAGCCCCCCTTTACATCAATGTTGAGTGCGTGGAGAGGGCTCACACTTTCTGATTTCTCGGCGTCCATATCTCTGCTGACCTTAACTGGAAAGAGAACACCACAGCGGTCATCAAGAAGGCTCAGCAGAGACTACACTTCTTAAGAGTACTTAAGAAGCACAACCTGAACACCAAATTGCTGTTGACCTTCTACCGTCCATCCATCGAGAGCCTGTTGACATACTGTATCTCAGTATGATACGGCAGCTGCACCCTGGCTGACAGGGAGAGGCTTCAGAGCTTCTTTTGTGCTGTCTTGACTACTGTCAAAACAGCACAAGATACTTGGCTGCCCTCTCCCCTCCCTGATGGACATTTACACATCACGCTGCCTCAACAAAGCAGAAAGCATAATCAAGGACTGTTCACACCTGGGTTTTGAGCTATTTGGCTTTGTTTCAGGGAAGTGCTACAGGTGTATCAGAACAAGAACAAACAGATTCAAGAACAGTTTTTTCACACAAGGTGGCTGAGACTGCTCCGTATAAGGTAAGAGAAATGCACGTTTGTTTGTCTTGTGCTGTAGTTCACTTCCTGCTTTTGGAGCAGTCTCCGGTCCGCTTGCATTCACAACGAGTTCAAACTGCACTAGAGTTCACTTCAACCGAACCGAGACCTGGGTATTTAGGTGGACCAGAGTTCGCGTTTTGGTCCGCTTCAGAGTTCGATTGCACATTCACACCTCTCCAAACGAACCGGACTTTCTAGGCAAATGGACTAGAGTTTGATTAAAGTGGACTAAACAGGGCTGGTGTGAATGCACCCTTACTGACCTAACTGACTAAATAAGTTTGTAAAATGATTCTCAAATTGCCATTTTTTGAAGTTAAAATTTATTAATTAAAATATTTTATATGTTTATTATAGCACGGTGGTGCAACTGGTAGAGCTGCTGCCTCTCAGTGAGCAGGTCCTTGGTTCAAACCCCAGTCCAGGGGCCTTTCAGGGTGGAGTTTGCATGTTCTCTCCGTGCATGCGTGGGTTTTCTCCGGGTACTCCGGTTTCCTACCACAGACCAAAAACATGCATGTTAGGATGATTGGTAATTCTAAATTGTCCCTAGGTGTGAATGAGAGAGTGAATGGTTGTTTGTCTCGTTTGTCTCTATGTGGCCCTGTGATGGACTTGCGACTCGTCCAGGGTGTACCCCGCCCCTCGCACAGTGATTGCTGGACATGGGCACAAGCGACCCCCGTGACCCAAGATGGAACAAGCGGGTAAAGATAATGGATGGATGAATGTTTATTATGTTATTTGCAACCTTGTGTTGGCCTATCTCATAAAATCCCAGTAAAATACTTTCAAGTATGTGGTTGTATGACAAAATGTGGAAATGTTCAAAGGGTATAAATTATTATTCTCAATGCTGTGTCTTAAATGACCAGCTGACCATGTTTGAAATGGGATATTTTAACAAATAGATTAGGTCTGACCAAGTGCTCGAAGCCCATGTAAGGCACATTGCAGCGAACAGCAGCATCCTCCATGTGCTGACAGTCTTCTGATGTGATGTTTTTATATGGACAGTTCCAGATAGACTTCTCTTGACCGAGACACTTCACCTCATTCATATGAATGGGACCTATTCCTAGAAACACAAAGAGACAATTGCTCAGTAATACAAAAAAAATCATAGGTTCTAACAGAGCAAAGATTCTCTGTTGGAGCTTGATCAGCTCCAAAGAAAACGATTACTGAAGAAAAAAAATCAGATTTTATTCTTGAACACACAGTACTACACAATAAACCGTTCACTAAATGAAACACAGCCCTCTAACAAAGTATTCTAAAATAACATATTCTTACTTTTTATTATAAATTTAACATTTGACATGTTTTAATATTGACTAATTTACTCATGTTATGAAGCTTTAAGTGAATTTTTAGAAACATACTGTTCATAATAAATCAATAACCAAAGCAACATCCCAAGAAGTCACTGACAGAAAGCACTCTGTCAGTGACTTCTTGGTATGTTGCTTTAAATGACCACGCCACCATCTTATGTCACCAGTCCATAATATAGTGCATTATGTAAATTCAGTGAATGGCTAAAATTCAGCAGCTCTTATTTCCAACTTCATGGAAGTTTCTTGGACTGATTTGCCTGCTGGTGGTTAGACATCAATCCCAGCAGACCAGAGGTATGCAGCTTCCTCCAAAAAGGTCAATGGCAAGCCTCTTTAGTCGACGTCATCTGAGGTAGGAATCATGAATGTGCAGAAATACAAGGACAGGACATTCCCCAAACAAGCATTTCTGAGAAGCAATGCTAAAAAACACTGCTTGTTTTTGCTTCAGTGGAACTTCTGGGAAGTTTACTCAAGTATACACACTTCCTTCTTATTAAGGAAAATCACTAATGAGAAGTACACAAACAGACACACATTTATCCGCATTTTTTATATGTGGTTCAAAGTCACTTTACAACATGCAGAGATTTTTTTTTAAATTAGAGAATGTCTCTATTTCAGGCACTTCTGACAGACTAGGTGCACACTGTCTGCACAAACAGTATTTTAAATATACAGCAGTTCATTCAGCATTTAACAAGAAAATAAGTAGCAAAGTGTTAAAGGATCATTAACATTATTTAAAGCACAAAATAAAGCATAGCGCTTTATAATATAATACTTTTAATGGATATGATCTATAAAAAAAAAACAGTTACACCCCTGTAAAGGGAAATAGTGAAAACGGTGTTACTTCTGTCACTTCCAGTGTTGAGCAGAACCGACACGTTTCCCCTGTGATAACTCAGATGTAACCAATCGAGACACGATATCAATCAACCTTTATTTATACAGGTAAATCCCATTGAGCCTCGAGGACTCATTTACAAGAGAGACCTGATTTCAACAAAGAAAGATGACAACAATGGACAACAGCAACAACAATAAACAGTTATAAAAAAGCATACTACAGTTTTTTTTGTTTGTTTTAACAAATAGGATGGCTAAAAGGAAAAGGTAACAAAACAAAAAACAGCTAGATTCCAAGACAAATGTAGAAAACTAAAAACAGGAACATGTCAGCATTGGACCCTGCCAGGTGTCCAACAGATTCTTAAAGACACTTAGAGAGGTCAAGGTCAAGAGCTTCAAATCTTTTTGAAAGATATTCCAGGAAACAGGAGCGGAATAGGAGAAGGCCCTTTTGCCTAGTTCAGTCCTCATTGAGGGAACACTGCAGGTAATAATGTCCTGAGAGCGCACTCCGTAGCTGCACTCACGCAGAGACATGTAGGAGGAGATGTATGAAGGCAACAGACCAAGAAGTGATTTAAAGATGAAAATATACCAGTGAGAGAGTCTGCGTGAAGTTAATGATGTCCAGTTAACCAGTGAATACAGTGTGCAGTGGTGGGTACGATAATCACAGCCAGTTATGAATCTTAGTGCACCATGAAAGACAGCATGATAAGTAAATAAACTCTCAAAACATAAACTTTGAAAAGGTAACACTCTCTAAAGACTGTATACAATTGTTGTCAGAAAAGTAACATTAAATAAAATGCATTTAAAACATATTATTTTACTGCATCATTCAGTGGCTTTTAACCTGCAAGACCAGAACAATTGATCATAGATCACGAGATCAGCAATCACATTGCATCTTATTCCCATGAATTTTACTTCAATTGAGGATTTTTTTTTTCATTTACATTTCCCACATACTACCGTGAACCAAAGACAATTAATTTCAGCAAATAATTTAAAAAATATATTTTTCTTAATGTTTTTTCTGTCTATTTTTTCAACTGAAACAGTTTTATAATCATCATACAGTAGTCCCTCGCTACTTCGTGGTTCGTATTTCATAGACTCGCTCTATAGCGGTTTTTCAAAATAAGATTGGACATGACACACAATTGGTTGATTGATGGATAAGTCGCACAATCGGCATGGAATTTTTATTTAAAATAAATTATTTTAAGTTATTTAGCACCTGCTGC